CAGAGCTGAGGTGCGGATCGTGTAGCCAACGGAAGGAAAATCTAAGTGACAGGGAGATAAGCGGCAGGAAGTTGAAGGCTTAGCAGCAACCATTATCTTTCTTTTCTTAAATGAAAAGATCACTTCAGCGGTAATTTGACCCTACCTTCTACTCCGTACTATGAGATAGAGGAAGGCAACCTTTTGAATTGCAAAGCTCTATCAGGTCCAACCCCAATCTCCTTTCCCAACCAACTGATATTCGAATATCGATCTCCTGCTGCGCAGTCTAAAATGCTCTCAAAAGGTAAGTAAGATAAGGGGGTTAAACCACATCACGCTTTTCAGAGACTAATCAAAAGTCATTTTTCGTTAAGATCAATTGATTTCTCGACACAAGGCAGAAGAAGTTTCACTCTCGAGACGATCCCCTTGTCTCAAAAAACTCTCTTTGGTATACAGGCATTCTTTTCGATCTTCTACTTTAGTACACTGAACACCAAGCCAATCTCTACAAAGTGAAAAGTGGAATCGATTCGACCATTCAAGTCGTATAGCATTTATCTACGCTAGGATCCGACCTACGTTAACAGCTTTCTTCTCTTATCAAATTTTGATTTAATAGCAAACAATGGTTATTTCAAACGCCGTCTACTGTCACACCAACAAAGACCAAGAGTAGCGGTTGCTGATTCAATTGGCTTGGTTGTCGGAAAGAAAGTCTTGTCCAGTCTTGAACTAATCAACTAGTCTACTCAACTCAGCAAGAAAAAAACAAAGAAAGCAAGTCAACCCTATATTCCATTCTAAATCAAAATTTCCCTCCAACCGAAGTCAGAAGACCTCAAGGCAGGGAAGCGGCTAGAACTTCTCTTCCAACGTAGCTGGTAAGGCTATTGAGAAGGCTAGTGTAATACCTTATTGAAGCGGATAAAGCTCAATGAAGAATGAAGACTCTAGACGAATGCTAGCTCAGGAGTAGGAAAAGGTATTACAGAAGCGTGCTTTAGGAAGTTTCGAAAGACGACCTCAACACAAGGAGAATGGATGAGGATTCAAACAAGGTGGGATCCAAACAAAGGGAATAAAGGATTACAAACACATTCCTAAAGAAAGTCCTAAGAACGAGGAGAAAGAAGATAGCCTAAAGCGAAAGAAAGGCATACAACCAGAGTCAAGTAGACAGATAGCGTTGCAGGGACCAATCCACCTAAGGGGAACCAATCAGTCCCCAAGCTGGAAAAAACGTAGCTCAGTGATTAGACGTAAGGATTGCTCCTTCTACGGTCCAACGAGTTAGACTCGTGCTTCACCAGAAGGAAGAAAGCATGCTGGAGGAGTGCACTAGACCCCAGCGAGGGTCGTAGGCCGGACGTAGCCATTCGCCTTCACGAAGAGGATAGTGCTTTCAGACGGGGTTCTCAATCGTGCCTAGAAGCTTATAACCATGAAGCGGCAGTAAAGAGTGCATTCTTTTATTCATACTACGGTACGGTTCAGTGCGCTACCAGTCCAGCGAAGCAGTAGCAAGAAAAAGAGTACCAAGCAAGCAAAGGAGCCAAAGCCCGTCAGCAAACCAGTAAGTTGCGAGTGTGTGAGTGCGCCTGTTCAACTTCAACTCTCTCAGATGCTGAATCTGAAGAAGCAGCTGCCACTAGAGAAAGAGAAGTATCAGCAAAAGCTGAATCTGAAGACGCATCTGCACCCGAATCACCTAAAGCAGAAGTCTTCATTCGATGACGCCACTTGTTGCCGTTGATGGACGTTGCAACAGCACCGGTGCCGGTCATGCTTCAAAGTGGAACAAAACAGATTGGTTCTAGTTTCTATGAGTCGACAGGAGAAGCACCGCTCAAAGGAACTTTCGCGAAAGCCGGTCATTTTGACCTTGTTTTATTAAAGGAGTGGACCGTACTCGAAGGAAAAAAACCTCGAACCGAGGCGGTTGATGGGGAGCTTGTAGCTTATGGTGCTTTCTTCCCTGCCTATTACGCCTTTTACGATTTTCTTTTTTACCTTGTTTCTGAAGGAAATCTTCCTTTTTTTCAAAAAGTATATGAAAAAGTGGACGGGTATTGAATTGTTCTTAGCTTGGCGCGCTTGCTTCCCTCTAAAGAAGCACAACCGTAACACTTTGAAGTCTTAGGTGAATCACTCAATTCTTTCCGTACCGCCCTCTCTTGAAGCAGTATTTCGCTCAGCAGCATATCCAGTTTATTCTGAACTAACATATCTTTTTTCTCCTGAACCAAAGGATCCCTTTTATCCCGCGGATTCAGCTTTTTCCGAATCAACATATAATTGTTGCTAGGTCAGTCATAGGGTTATTTCCAGTCTAGTCTAGAATCAACACCAAACAAAGCTTTACCTTAACTACGTACAAGATACCCGTGAAAGCCCTGACTGTGGTGGACGCATGCACTCGCAACACAAAAGTCAAGCAAAATATGCCCCTCCATATGATGGCTTCCTATACCGTACACTAGTAGCATACAGAGCCGGTTCCCCAATACAACATTGAATCTGATATACTTTTTAGAAAAAGGATTACATTCAGGCTATTCCTGTCGTAAAAGCCAATAAAAAAAGAAGCAGTTTTACTCAAAGAAAAGCTGCCAAGTAAGAGAAGCAGCCAAGGAAGGAACCCAAGCTAACGCAACTCTCCGCAAACTAGCTGCAGTTGAAGGCGCTTCGACTTGAGAGGAAGAAGTGGAGAAGGAAGGGACAAGTTCCTCAGATAGGCACGGCCACCACCCCGTGACGCTCCCAAACCGATCGCTATCGTTTTCTTGCTTTCTTGTTGTCTTGAATTGTTATAGAACGGCTTTATATCAGGTATAGTTGGTAGGATGAAGCCTTAGTGGATATAGCAAGTGTGCCGGGGATACGGCTCGGGCGTAGTAGGTCTAGACGCCTAGCATGAAACAACCTTCTCTGGTAGCGGCACTATACCTTAGTATCTCTCTAGCTTCCAGTCTATATAAAATCTATATAAAACGTAGTTAGCAGAGGTAAGTCTGTCTAGCGTTCCCTCACGTAAATGGCGACTTTGGCATCGGCTCTCTCTCGTTAGGTAATTACCGAGGTGAAAGCTGCTCTCTCGGAAGTCAGTTTCCCCGCCATCTTAGTGCTACTAGTCTAATAAACTTTCACTTGAACTGCCAAGACTCAGATTTTTTGTTGTTGTTGTGGTAACGCCCTTCTAGAATTACGTTTAATGTCCCTTTATGACTTTCCCGATCGGCGCCTCGGGTCAGTAGCCGGGCTCCGTTACTACCATGGCTACTATCGACCCGAGCCCAAAGAAGGAAAAGAATGGACTAAAGCGAGGAGTTCATTAGCCATACATAGTGAAGGGGAATGGGGGTCAACCTCTTTCATGACCCATGGCCCCAGTGTGTCACTTGGTTAGCATTTCTAGAACAAATTAACTAGGGTTGGTTTTTCGATAGGGTAGGGAAAGAGGGGAGTTGGCTGTAGTTGAGACACGTTTTTCGGCTGGACGATATGGATTTATTCGAGATGGTTAACCACTTTTTTAAGCGTGAGAGGGAGGTCATTCAGAACCCGCTGGCTCCAGAACCGGTGGAAGTTCCCCACGCCGATCCCCATCAAGAACAACGTGAGGCACTTCGAAATGCCATTCTTTGATTCTTGAGCAAGTTCGGGAACATTGTGAGAAGGGGAAAGGGCGACTGTCCATTCACTTTCTGAAAATGGCAGAAATCTATTCCAGTGCCGCAGAGAACATTATGTCTTGAGATCTGGAAATATCTGCGGAGATGGATACTGAAACCCTCCGTGGATGGGTGGAGGAGATAAAGGAGAACCCTAATCTCCTAAAATCCCTCATTAGGGAACACCTGTAAGATGAGTCTGCCGCTTTCTTTCATAACAGATCTAAGAATAACGGCTGGCATAGAAGTCTCTCGCGCGCAAGGAGATGCTGCTGCTGGATGTCACGGGGGCGCCATGATCCTTCTCTCTGGAACAATCAAGGGCACTGCCTTCCTTCAGCTTTCAGAGGTAGGGGCTGCATCAATCATTGCTCAGTGAGCTATTTATTGCCCCCAATAGCGCTTCACTTGCATGCAAGGCGGCACGCCAGGTAGAGCTATTGCGCGCGGGCGAAGGAGATGCATTTCTGGGACTGGTAGTACTAGACAAGCTCTCAGGGAATAATCACTTTCTTATTTCTGCCTTTCTTTCCTATGACGACTAGGAACGAGCAAATTAAAAATTTCACTTCGAATTTCGGACCTCAACATCCTGCTGCTCATGGTGTTTCACGATCAATATTGGAAATGAACGGAGAAGTGGTGGAACGTGCGGAACCACATATTGGATCACTCCAGTGCGGCACGAAGCTGCTGACGCCGAGTCGGCTCCTATGCCGCTAGCTATGCCCTGCTTGGTCCCCCGGCACGGTGGAGGTTCCGTAGCGCGTCATGAGCACCGGGCTAAGGGGTGGTTGAGCAACTCAAGCGAACCGCCCTACCTTACTACAACATAAACATAGGGACAGAAGGGAGAAGGTTGTGAAGGTGGCCTCGTTATCCACACCTCTGGTCGGATGAATGGAGGACCAACCGACCCGGGTTTTCATGAGCGTTGGCGGGTCCTGGAGTGCCTGTCAAGGGCGCTAGTGCATACCCTGGGGTGATCATCACCACCTGCACCTCACATCTCAGCCCAGTGGAACGTGTAACCCGCCTGCTGTCTCATTCAACTACATTTGTTCTTGTAATCCATAGCCTAACAGAACGCAGCAGCGAGGGACAACCCGCCCATACAGCCAGCGGGGAGGATGGCACTACTGGCAAAGACCGTCTGGCAAAAACGCCGCAGGCGCGAAGCGTGGTAGGCCTGCGCCGGGGGAGCATAGGAAGGGAAGGGAGCTCGGATGGTGGAAGAGCCAAGGGAGGCCGGGTCATTTGACGGAAATGGAAGGCTTTTCCCCGATTAGAGAAGGCCCTATGAAGTAAAGGGAAGTGCATGAATTCTTGGAAAAAGAGGGAGCGAGCCTATATAAAAAATGTAATAAAGTCAATTTAATGAATAGATAGAGTCAACGGTACGACAGACAGCACTGCCTACACACGAATTAGCTTCCGAGGTCGAGCAGTCTCAATTTCACTACAGGATTTGCGAATGAATGTTGGGCTGGGCCACCTTGAATGGCGTGAGCCGCATGCGGGGAGACCCGCACGTACGGTTTTTAGGGGGATCTGGTCGAAAGACCGGCCGTCGCCCACCCAACTAGAGGGACTGAGAAATTAATAGAGTACAAAATTTATCTTCAAGCTTTACCTTATTCTGATCGTTCAGAGGGTGATCGTGGAGTCACTAAATGAAGTCCTCCGTTTCTTTCGGAGGTACTGACCCGCAGCGAGACAGAGATGACTAAGTGACATATTCCATATGGCGACGACAACAGCATGTCGTAGAAGGAGATAATAGGTGGAGCCAACGACCCACTAAGACTAAAGTATCTACAACTACATCCCCGAGCGGCAGTCAAACGGGGGTGTGAATGCAAGATGCTAGCGGAATGATCGGCCGGACAGAGGCTAGGGTTGCTTCCTTCCCACCGTGTCCTTCCTTGTGTGTCAGAGATATAAAGCGAGTGCATCGGAAAAGAACGGGAACTGGGTCGATCTATTCTATGGCAAAGCATCCGAAGCATAACTGCACACTCACACGATCTTTGCCGAGAGATAGGAGCATTCAGTGGAACCGGTTAACTACATTTGCTTTTGGATAGATGTGTGGGATAGAGGGCTCGTGGTACCAGCTGCCCACCCTTCCTCCTCTACTTTGAGAACCGTGTGAACGGAGAGTGGGCAGAAGGGAAGGATGTCCTCATACGGAGTTGCACACTTACTTGAGCAGTGCGGGAGACTGGGGAATGGGTCGAGTAAACTCCCCTGGGGCAAAAAAATAACAGACGAAGCTTTACTTAGATAGGGATTGGTATTTCTTTTTTCTTAGTGATTGGAAAGGAGGGCGCCTGGGTATGTTATAGAAAAGGAAGGCAAAGGTAGTACTTCGAATGGCGAAGAGAGGCGGCTTGGCAGGGAAGGAAGGGGAAGTCGTCAAGGATGACTTCTTTGTTGGCAAAACGAAGGTCGCGCCAGTGATTCTCTGAGCCGGTCTGGATTTCCAACGCCTCGGGAAACTGGTCGAGATAGATGACAGCACCTTTTTCCTCTCTTCCTTACCGGGAAGGCACTCTTATGGCCTTCACCTCCCGCCCGGCCCGGAAATAGAACCTAGCCCCCCTAATGATCCATTCATTTCTGCAAGCAAGGGGGATCCAGAGCTAAGCCCCCCTTCTATTGCATAACCTAAAAAAGATATAAGCAAAGTACCGTTGGAACGATACGCTTTGGTTACCGGTGAACACTTCCAAAGGTAGTTTACTTGCTTACTTGTTAGAGGAAGGAGAAACTCTCGAGTTTCCAGCTGTTTCCTAGATTGAAGTAGCCTTTCATTGCCCTACCAAACGAAAGAAGTCACTATCAAACAACTCGCCCTGCTGAAGTACCAAAGGTGCGCGGAACCTGGTGACTAAGAAAGAAATTGGTTTGCGCTTGAATTGAAGTGATGAGGTCGCAAAGAGGGAAGTAGGGCTCCTATTGAAACGCTTTCCTTCCCTCACGACCAGCTTTCCATACTAGTTGTTACGTTACGCTGCCATTTTTCCAATATCATTGAATAGCATGGCCTGGGGCTAAGGTAACTCAAGTGGGAGAGCCGTGTTATGGGTGACCTTATTGCACGGTTCAGAGAGCACTTGTGTATGTGATGTAAGTGAACGTGTACGAAAAAGCTATCGTAAAGTTTCATTGTTCGTTCCGTCGTCGACCCTATCTATGTTTCTACGATGGCCCAAGAACACGCTCATTCTTCAGCCGTAGAGAGACTTTTGAATTGCGAGGTACCATTACGAGCTCAATATATACGAGTGTTATTCCGTGAAATAACTCGAATTTCAAATCATTCACTTGCTTTAACTACTCATGCTATGGATGTGGGAGCATCAACTCCGTTCCTGTGGGCTTCTGAGGAGCGGGAGAAATTGTTGGAATTCTATGACAGAGTCTTGGGAGCCAGGATGCATGCTAGTTTCATACGACCAGGTGGAGTGGCACAAGATCTGCCTCTTGGCTTATGTCGAGATATTCATTCCTCCACACAACAATTTGCTTCTCGTATCGACGAATTAGAAGAGATGTCAACCGGCAACCGTATCTGGAAACAACGATTAGTGGATATTGGTACTGTCACTGCACAACAAGCAAAGGATTGGGGATTCAGTGGTGTAATGTTAAGAGGTCGTGCGACATGAAGACATTGATAGCAATATGGGGGAAGTTCCCATCAGGCAACAACGGTTCTGCCTGACCCTACTTAAGCATGCATATTATGTCAGTGAAGACTTGGTGTGAAGCCTTGGAGCTTACGTTAGAAGAGCAAGAGGCCCGGGGCTAGGGTGAGCTGAGGGGGGACAGCGTAAGTGAGCGAATGTGTGTAAGCCCAGTCAAACATGACTGATCTAGGCGGGGCGGGCCACCCACCTTCGAATGGTGTTGGTTTGTAGGACCATGAACGGATTCGCCTCTGGCCTCTGGCCTCTGGGCACATTGGAACCGCATGAGTTCACTGGGGTGGAGCACGGTCCGCCAAAATTGGCATAGGTTAGGTGCTATTGATGGAACATGATAAGCCTATCTTTCTCTATATAAAAGTGCTGCGGGCATATAGAGATGTGGGTAGAAGAAGCCTCAAAAAGCGAAGGCTGAGTTGTAGGTCACGTGACCTGCACCGAGTTGGTGGCGGACTGGGCTTTTTCCTTGATCAAAGCAGATCAGCTCGCCTTCTTATTATCCAAAAGTCGGTCGAATCGGGCGGGCCCCTGCCCCGGAACGTCGAATGAAATAGGTGGCCGGGTTCTCTTTCTACAACCCTTTTGATATGATAGGCCCAGCCACCTTCCCCCTATCCCTTATGTTTAGGAGCGGGATCCGCCCAAGAATGACCAGTCTTGTGGTGGTACGGAAGGCACGGACTCCGCGAACGTCCCGCGCCCCCCTTTACTAATCTAATAAAGGAAAGAAAGCCTCAACCAGAACCACATTCCTTTTGCGTGCGAATGTAGCTAAGTGTCTAACTCTATTGGTCATAGTTTCCTGCTGTTGCGGCAGGTGCTCGTTTGCGCGCACGTGAACCAACCCAACAAACAAGGAAAGAATGTCTCTCGGGGCATCTGAGAATGATTCGAGCCGTATGAAGGGAAACTCTCACGTACAGTTTTTTTTTTTTTTGGGGGGGGGGAAGGAGCCCGACAGGGTCCCCCCACTGACTTGGCCCGAGCCTAAGTGAAAGTGAAGGGGTGGGCCTACCCATCCCAACCAGGGGTATGCTGGGATTTGCGAAGAGCAGCACCTTACGATGTTCATGACCAATTGGATCCTGACGTACCAATAGGTACCAGAGGAGATAGCTATGATCGTTACTGTATCCGTATTGAAGAGATGCGACAAAGTGTTTGGATAATTGTGCAATGTCCTAATCAAATGCCTAGTGGCATGATCAAAGCCGATGATCGTAAGCTATGTCCTCCATCACAATGTCGAATGAAACTATCCATGGAATCGTGCGCCATGTGAAATGTAGATCATCGCCGTTCTTAACCGAGACTCAGGTTAAGCTCCGTCTCGGAACTTTGTGGGGTTAGGAGTAAAGCATCCCGAGGTTGGCGTATCTCGTTGGGCGTTGAGAAGCATTGGGAACCCTAATTTCTTTCTTCGGAGCCGTTTCTTTTCCCGTCCCCCCGCCCCGGCATAGCGCTTCGCTTCCGGTTCTTCGGAAGAATCAACTGACTTCTCCCTTCTTCATTGATCTGGGGGAAAAGAAACTGTCTACCTGTTGGGAAGCTAGACATCAAGTAAGTGGCTTGATGAGGATAACTAAGCTGACACACCAGAGTTGGCTGCTGGCACAACAAGGTGGTTCCTTACCGCACCACAGGCAAACGCGCGGTAGCGTTCGTGGTGGTGCTTCAGGATTCCAATGTACTGCATCCAAGATCAGAACGAGCTTGCCGGCGGACCACTGCCGTCCCATTCTTGAGTGAGCTGGAGCGCAGCCATCTTATCCACTGAACTAGCTAGAAGTTATCGCTTCGGGTCGAAGCACTAAAAGAAAAGGACCGGAAAACGCGGCGGCATAGGAACCACGGGACCCCCTACTAGTAAAGGGAAAACGGAAGTGCGCTCCTGCACACCAGCCGAAAAAGCCCTTTCCCCTTTTCATAATAATAAGGTAAGCTTCATAGCTTCGGCTTTTTTTCTGCCCTTTTTTTAGGTTGGGTTGCTGGATAAGGGATCCTCGTAGTAGGCTGGACCAACATCCAGCTGAGAGAGGGCAACCTTTAGAAGCAATAGGTTGGGAAACCAAGAGAACGCGAAGCGTTCTCTTATCTTCTTCCTGCCCTAGGAGTAGGAGTAGCACAAAAAGATGGAGTAGCATTATTAACCCAATGATAAACCACTAACACCTTTCTCGTTGGGGCTCCGCGCATTGGGAAAATGCTCTAGCGACGGGAAACCGGCCACTAGGTACAAAGCTCCAATAAGGTATCGAGAGGGCAGGTGCGAAGTAATTACCCCCTATTTGTAAAGTACCCCTCTTCCTATTTAAGGTAGGGGTTGAGGCGAGAAATGGCTTGATTAACTGTTATGTTCGCCACGCACCGGCCCCATTAACTTGCTTATCGTAGAGGCTGTAAGTACACAGTGCCCCATAACTATTCATAGTATAGTGGGGTTGAAACACAAGAGTGCCCGCCCTTTCTTTCAAGCAGGCCACTTTTTTCGGAACGCAGTCCGGGATAACCGTGACCATGTATATATCTTCAATGTTGTCATTTCAAAATGTCCGCTTCAACTGCTGTTTCACCTCCCAAAAAGCAAGGTTGGCTTGACGAGCGCAGATGTGAAGAAGCGGGAGCAATAAAACCAAAAATCTCTTTCTTGTCCTTTTACTTAAGGGGCAAAGAGAAGCGCTTTTGCTACTGAGAAAGCGAATGGTCAGCGCGAAGGTTCAAGACTTAGCCGAGCGTTAGCAAAGCTAGATTCTCATAGTGAGGCGCTTCGAGTTAGCGAAGCGCTGTAGTTGCGCCGAAGCCCTATGTGCTATAATGCTGAGCCAAGGACGCTCCGCCTTATCTATAGAAGCAGTCAACTGAGTTCTGAACGAATTAGCTCCTTGGTAATGGCTTAATCTATAGATAGAAAGCCCTATGATGGGAAACTACCACGTTAGGTTTGGAAAGAGATGAGACTGGTTATATAATAGAGGGAGCAGATGCAAGCTTTTTCTTTCAATAGCCGGTCAAATGACTATAGGATCATCGGTCTACTCTACCTCAATTCACCATTTCGAACCTTATATAGAAGGTTTTTCCGTACCAGCTCCTTCTACCTATACTGCAGTTGAAGCACCTAAAGGAGAATTTGGTGTCTTTCTGGTCAGTAATGGAAGCAATTGTCCCTACCGTCATAAAATAAGAGCACCTGGCTCTGCCCATTCACAAGGACTCGATTCTATGTCCAAACATCACATGCCAGCAGATGTGGTCACCATCATAGGTACTCAAGATATTGTGTCTGGAGAGGTGGATAGATAGGACTACTAGTTGCTCGATCAGGACCCTAGCTTTATTGTGAGCCAAAAACCTTGATGGATTCCCCTTCTAACATTTCTCAAAAAAAAAAGAATTCTCGCTTTTACTTTACATTGGGAAAAAGGAGGAAAATAACTTAGATCTCCTTTACAATATAAAGAAAGAAATAATGGTCGAAGTTTAGACCGCTCACAGTAGTTCTACCTATAGAAAAGATCATCAGAGAGGAGACAACCCATTTATGATTCCAGCCGAGAAGCCTAGTAAAAGGAAGGATCAAGAATGTCATATATTTCAGGAGCTAGATCAGTTCACAGTAGTTCTACCTATAGAAAAGATCATCAGAGAGGAGACATTTATGATTCCAGCCGAGAAGACTAGTAAAAGGAAAGATCAAGAATGTCATATATTTCAGGAGCTAGATCAGTTGCCGATGAACAAGTAAGAATTGCCTCAACAAAAATGGATGGAATTGGACCTAAAAAAGCCATTCAGGTTCGTTATTGATTAGGTATCCGTGGGAACACAAAGATAAAAGAGTTAACGATCGACAAAATTGAACAAATGATAGGTCAAGATCATGTTGTTCATTGGGAATTAAAGAGGGGAGAACGAGCAGACATCGAACGATTCATTTCTATTTCTTGTTATCGTGGAATTCGTCATCAAGATGGATTGCCCTTACGCGGTCAACGAACTCATACTAATGCTACGACTTGTCGCAAGCTAATTCAGAAATGAAAGAAGTCTACTGAAAGCCCTTGGTACTTGTCTGATCAATCACACTGATAGCTTCAATAGTTCACTGAATTTTTCTTTTTTATTTCACCGGTTACTAATCCAGTATACGTATAGTAGGCCTCTTTCACCACTCCACTAGTGGCTCGGCTTGGTCTCGCTCCCTTCGCTTGCCTATCGTATCGGCTTGGCTTCGTCCTAGAAGCTACTGCTTCCGCCTCTCTAGGCTTCGTTATCGCTTATGATTGGTATATGGATCTCTCTATGTAGTGGTCGGCCTTCTAGAAGCTTCGCCAGAAGCGACTAGTCGCTTCCCGAATGCCTCTTTACTTTAGTATGGTCTAGTCTTTCCAATGCCTCCTTCCTTGCCGCCAACGTACGCTACTAGGAGAGTAAGCAAGCTACCTTGCTTGCATTCTAGAAACGGTAGCTTCCGCGCCCTTCCTGCCTGCTGAAATTGATGTGAATGATCGTGACAA